GGCTTAGCTTGCCGCTTCATTGCTGCTTTTACCCCACTTGCCCCCATCGGTGGTGTGTGTGGTCACCCATCAGAGCGTGCATTTCTGTTGAGTCTTAGTCTTGGAAGGGGGTTTGCTTTGAGAGGACCTGGCCACTTTCCTTGATGTTTCCTAGGAAAGCAATTTGTTTGTTCTTGTAGTAACAGTCCATCTGCCTCCATTTTTCCTGCAGGCCTTTCTTTCAAGAGGTATCTTTTATTCTTCTAGCCGCTCCAGGCTGGTCTGCTTGTCTTTTCAAGTGGAGATTTCTCATCTCTGAAGATCTGGATGTAGTTCCAGTTTCTACCTATAGTTTTATGTATTGCAAAGGGTCTGCAAGAAGCCTCATTCACTGGGTATGCTGTAGCCCCAATTTTAGGTATTCCAATTAGTCATAGGCAGAAGACGGACTTACAAGCCTTCTAGTGTGATGTTTCTGACTATTCCTTTCTCTCTCTCTCCAGTGTCTACTCTATATTATAATGCAAGGGAAACCAAGATTAAAAAACAAACAAAAAAAAAAAACAGTCAGGCATCTTAACATGATTTCCCCCCCCATCATTTTCTTTTGAAAGAAAGAAATTTCTTAATTTATAATTGCAGGTTTTGTATTGTTTCAAAATTTGCATTTATTTTGTATACTCTTGTAGTGTTTTCCAGAATTGTTCTAAAGTTTTTCTGTTAGTTCTATTACCTTTCTTTCCTCAGAAATACTTTCTAGCTTTGCATCTTGGTCATTTGTTTGAACCATTCTCTCTTGTTTCTTCCTGTGAGCTAAAGTTGTCTGTTGCCTCTGAAGAATTGTGGGGTTGTTGTATTTGTGTTTAATTGATGATTGTATGTTGATGTGTTCTCAGGCTCTCACCAACTGCCTCGTGTGGCTGTAGGTAGAGAATGGAAGCATGTACACTGTTCTCATTCACCATAGTTTAGGGTGAGTTTGTCTGGTGTTGGCTGCTGTCTATTGTTGATCAGGTGGTATAGGAGCTGGTGTTGGCTCTTGCCAGTGGTTGGACCTTCAGGGGGCACATTTGTGGCTGGAATGTATGGGTATGCTTGTTGCCTCCTGCTGGGTGGGAAAGAGAAAACCCCTCTCACATATACTCACAAGAAAACAAAAGAGGATAAAAACACAGCCAACAATGAGAAAAAAAGAAAACAAAAAAATAGGCAGCAACTTGAAAAAAAGAATATAGCATATATAAAGACAAAAGAGGGACAGGGAGCTATAGAAGAGAAAAATCTGAGAGAAAATAAAAACAAACACGTAAGAATAACTAAAAAGGAAAAAGGAACAGAAAACTGGAGTTGTATAAGAGAAAAATAAGGGGAAATTAAAAAAAATTTTTAAAAGAAGAAACAGAAAAACCAATGAGGGGATATACAATGAAAAGAGATATACAATAGGAAGTAGTAAAGAAAGATCAAAAGGGGAAAAAAAAGTAGAGAGGAAATGAGAGACAGAAGAAAAGGAAAACAGTGGAGACAGGATAAAATTCAAGGGAGTGGAACGAGAAGAAGGAGAAAGACTAGGTAAACAAAAGCAATGAAACAGTACAAGGAAAAAAACCAATACCCCAAAACATAAAAACAGTGTAGCTGTTAACCGGGAGAGGAGTAAACTTTGGAGAGCTCCTACAAGTCAAAGAATTCTTGAGGTGGTTGTAGAAGGGATGTGCCAGCTGAATTCCTGGCCCTAGATGGAGTGCTTACCATACGTGGTGTTATCTATGTTCAGGACACTCAACCTGGAAGTAGTTCTTGGAGGCTCTTGATGGAGCAAGTTTGAATGTCGGTTAGGATCACAGGGCAGCTGGGGGGTGGGGGGCAGGGTAAATGGTAATATGCTCATCTGGTGGCTCTGCTGGTTCTGTAGGTCCTAACTCCAGCCCACCTGAATCCAGGCACCAAAGCCGCCACACACCTAATCCGTGCAGCCAGTCCCCACCTCTCAACCATGTGACCCCAACTTCCCAGAAAGCAGGGTCTATGCTGGGAGTATGTGAGGTGAAAGTGTTCCACATCTCTGGTAATCAGGAGAGCATGGGGAAAAAGAAGGAATGCACCTTTACCAGTCACCTGTGTAACTGTTCTGCCAGGCCATCTTCTGTTGCCAAAGCTGTTCACAATGTTTCAAGATGGTCATACCGTGTCTGGCCGGCCATTCACCAGTCAGTCTCCCTCTCTCTCTGTTCTAAGTTCAGGGTTCCTGGATTTTCATCTCTGTTTGTATTATTTGGTCTCTCATAACTGTTGTAGAGGGTCTGTGTAGCGCGTCTGCGTCTTACTGAACGTCTCTTCCCTTTTTTCTTTTTTGTGGGTTCTGCCCCCTCATACTAACTCTGCTCAGGGCCAGGCTGGTCCCCCTGGCTCTCGGGCTGTACCAAGGTAGGTCTCAGCATCACCAGTGGAGCTGTATGTGATGAGAGCTGGCAAGCAAAGCTTAGGGCCTTAGATCAGAGCTGGGAGCCTCCAGGATCATGCTAACAGCCAGAACCTTCTGTTGGAGACCTGCAGGCCTGGATCTTTGACACCAGGAAAACTACTTGCTTCTGAGTTCATATCCTTGATAATTTGAGCCTCTTTTGGACTCATTCATTCCACAGGCTCTGGAGAGTTTATTCTTGGTGCTGGAGACACTGATAAACCAGAAGCAAGCACCTGCCTTCAGGAAGCCCAGATGTGCTTGGTGGGAGAGATTGGCATGGCTGTCATATTGGGATGTGGGTGGACAATAACAGATGTGCAGGGTGCTTTGAAGATGTAGTGCTGGGATACTGATCTTGGGGAGACTGGGGAAGGCCAGGTGAACCAAGGGGCAGCTGGGGCAGGTGAAGACCTTTGTGGAGGAGGTGTGGCAAGAGCATGCAGGGACTAGCAGGAGCATGGAAGTACCATGTTGAAGGTCTAATCCTGTTTCCTCCTGGGCTAGTGGGATACCTCAGGACCTTCTTGAGAGTAGGGAGAATAGCATGGTGACAGAAAACACAAGCTACCCAGCAGGCTGCAGGGTTGGGAAGGGAACTAGAGGCTTGGACACCTGCCCTCAGCAGCCTGGTGGGACTAGGGGAACTGGGAGATGAAGGGCCAGCCTACAAGCCCAGCTGGTCACAGGTGTGCCAGGCTGGGTTCCCAGACTTGTGACCTCAGGCGGGTCACCTGCCCAATGAGCCATCTCCTCACCCCTACCTCTCGGATTCTAGTGGTATGGCACATGGTGGGGCGCTCTTTCTTGTGGCCCCTCTGACCCAGGCTTGCATCCTGGCTGGGCTGCAGGGGACTGACAGGTGACAGAGACAGGAGGTATATGACTGGCTCAGCCATGAGGTGAGCAGCTTGGCCTAGGGCACTGCCAGGGCCTACCTGAAGGCCTTGTGGAGGTGGTGACACCAAGTGGAGACTGGTGAGTCAGGCAGGAGTTCATAGAATGACTTAAACTATAGGGAGTGGGAGACCAGCAGAGGAGGGAGAGAACAACCAGTGAGGACCTTCAGGTCAGGCTGAGAGAATCCCAGATGTAGAAGGTGGGCTCTGATTGCTGTGGGAGGGCTTGTCAGAGCCCCCAAGTGAGGGAGGGGCTACAGGGAGTGGGAGCAAGGTACAAAAGGTAGGTTCTGAGTGAACTCATATTGTTTCTCAGCCCCTTGGGTTGGGGCCAGCCTGAGAGAGATGTGGGGGGGGGGGCAGGAAAAGGAATGCAGGTTTGGGAGAGGCTCATGAAGAAGGGTCTTATCCTCAGGAGACAGCTGAGAGCCATAGGTGCAGCAGAGATTGTCGGGAGCAAGGTGCATGGTGGGAAGAGGCACTCCTTGGGCCACTCCACTCAGATCCACGTGCAGACCATTATCTCTGTGGCCGCTCAGGGCCCCACTCCCTGCCATTTATGCTTGTCACCTCTGGCAGGGAGCCTCACCCCTGGGAATAGACTGAGGTCTGCAGGGGAGTAGGATGTAGTCAAAGCCTCACAGCGGCACATTGCCTGCTTTCAAGCTGGTGGGGCAACTTGGGGTATTGTGAGAGCTGGGAGAATGGTGTGAAGACATCAGATAACATGCAGCCCATCAGGTTGCAGGGCTGAGACACTGGATGGAGCATCTACTCTTATCAGTGTCCTCCCACCCCCACTGGCAGCTTTGTGGGGCTGGGACCCTGGAGTAGATGAAGGCAGGGTGATCCATACCATCAACCCTAACTGCAGGCAGAGGCAGCGCTCCTGGCTTGAGTGGCCCCCTTTGCTGGCTGCTCCAACTCTTTAGGGCCTTCCTCTGGAAGCAGCATCTCTATCCGCTCTGAGAATTGCTCCTCCAGGCCCTCCACCCCCACCTGACTTGTACAGTTCCAGCCTGAGATCACAGACTGGTTTGTATTGTCTCAAACCCAGATTAGAAAGTCAGGGGCACCCACTTGGGCTGAGAAAGACATTCACTATGGGGGTCAGCGCTGATAATAGATTTATTGCTTCTTTAGCCACGTGGGTTATGGAATTCAGAGGGAGGGAGAAAACACTAACGAAAATAATGGTTCCTCAGAGACTGGCTCTTTCGCCAGCTTGTCCCTGGCCTTTTTCAGAGCTCAGACTGAACGCCTTGAGCTCTGCGTCTTCCCTGTCTGGCCCCCAGGGCCTAGAGGCTCACTAGCTGTGCGTCTCGGGAGACACCTGAGGTGGAGAGGCCCCTTCCTGGGTCTCCTCAGACACATGCTCACCACTGAAGCCCAAGGTCTCTGTCTGCTTGGACACTTCTACTTGCTCCTCCTTGGGGCTTTTCTTGGGTCCCGCCTCTTCTTGTGGTTCCAGATTGGTGGCAGACTTTTTGTCAGAGGTTGAGTCTGGGACCCAGGAGCTTTCGGTGGCCCGGGAGCTCTCCCCCTCTTTGTTGATGGCTGCGGAGGACAGGCCCCGTGCCTTGGGCTGCACCCAGCAGTGGCTGAGGATCTCATCAATGTGTAGGCGCCGATTGACATCCGGCTGCAGCATACGGTAGATGAGGTCCTTGCACTCACCTGTCAGGTGCTTGGAGCGGGGGAAGTTGACTCGGTGTTCCTTCTGAATGCGCAGCATCTTCTTGATGTTGGAGTCATCGTAGGGCATGGAGCCACAGACCATAATGTAGAGGATCACACCCAGGCTCCAGATGTCATATACCTTGGGCTGGTAGGGGATGCCCTGTAGCACCTCGGGGGCCGCGTACGCCGCTGACCCACAGAAGGTCTTGCTCAATGTGAGCCTGCCACTGTCGTCCCTCAGGCAGCGCTTGGAGAAGCCGAAGTCAGACAGCTTGATGTTAAAGTCCTTGTCAAGGAGAAGATTCTCACACTTAAGGTCCCGGTGGACGACGTCCAGATCATGGCAGTACTTGATGGCCGAGGAGAGCTGGTGGAACTTCTTGCGCGCATCGTCCTCGTGCAGGGCACCCCGGGTTTTGATGAACTCAAGGAGGTCGCCCTGAACCCCAAGCTCCATGACAATGTAGACCTTGCCGTCAGAAGTCTCGAAGATCTCATAGGTCTTGACAATGGAGCGGTGGTTCAGCATGGCCAGGATCTCAATTTCCCGAGGAAGGAATTTCTCCAAGAAGTCTGTGGGGGCTTTCTTGCGGTCGATGATCTTGACTGCCACATTGAACTTCAGGCGCTCAGAGTAAGCAGACTTGACTTTGGCATACGAGCCCTCTCCCAAGTTTATCCCCATGATGTAGCCTCGTCGCTTGAGGACGGCAGCGTCATCCATGGTGCCAGGAGCGCCCAGTGCCTCTGGGGCTGCCCTCTACATCCCTGCGGGACATGGGCCAGCAGCGTCCTCATTTACACTGTGGACAGAGAGTCCTCTGGGCTGGCCAGGCCTGCTGTCCCTGCCTCTTAGAGGCCAAGACTCTGGAGTGGAACATTGAGCATTGTCTCTCAGGTGACTTCAGTGGATGAAGTCACAAAGGAGGAGTGCCCTGGGGGAATGAGGCTCATCCTGTGCTTCCAGGACTTGGAAATCTGAAAGACCAGACAGTGGGCTGGAGTGGACCAAAAGCATGCAGAGAGCAGCCTGGGATTGGAGGTAGGGGATATGGGGATACATGGGTCTGTCTACACTTCCCCTGCTCAAAGCCAGGCCTACTTATGTAACTAACAGTAGTGCTAATAATTGCACACTGGAGCCTCCCAGAAAACGTATATCTCTGTCATGGTCCTCTCAGGAAACCGAAGACTTTAAAGGGACAATTTATCAAGAAGCCCTGGCAGTGCAGTGGGGTAAGTGTTGGTCTACTTACCTAGAGGTTGGCAGTTTGAACCCCACCAACTGCTCTAAGGGAGAAAGATGAGGCTGTCAGTTCCCATAAAGATTGAAAACTGTAGGGAGCAGTTCTCTGTCCTATAGGGCTGCTATAAATCAGAATTGACTTGACAGCATTGGTTTCTTTGGTTTTTGTTAGGTGGATGATACAATACCCAAAGCTAGTAATATACTCCTGGCCTGCAAGAAAGGAGGGAGGGAATGGTCACTGGAACCTAGGCTAATGAGCTTCTGGGCAGGTTGGAAAAGAAGAGGGAACAGGAGGAGAAAGGGGTTGGATTAGGATGCCCAGTGGTCACTACTGCTGAGTAGAAAGTGAGGACTGGCTCTTGCAGCATAGTTGGACTTTCCACCCTCCTGTGTTGCTCCTCCTTCTCTGATGCTCTGCAGGCCTGTTTCTCTGACAGGGCTTGGGGGAGCAGGGAAAGGACAATTGGCAGGAACTTCTGCTCTTGGACTGAGTCTCCACTCAGGACCTACCCAGTCCACCCTGCTAGCTGGGCTCCTAGAGTGGATTTCAACTAGGGCATGAAGGCCAGTAGCTGGTCCTGAATATATGCCTGGATACTGCAAGCAATGAGGGCACCAGGGCCCGCCCACTGTAATAGGTCCTTTGTTAAGCATCCAGCCTTGCCTGGGGTTCAACCCTGACCTTTTCTGCCCAGGGAGAATGTGTGACCTTCTCTGGTGCTCTCAGCTCTGAAAGGGTGTTGGTGGGCTGCTCCTGGGTGGTGGAGCTGGGTGTCTGCTAGCCTGGGATGTGCACTGTTTCCATTAGCCTTGATTTACCCCTTTCTCAACTCCTCCTTTTCCCCAGTACTGATAACCTCTGGTGGGCTGTTAAGGCGTGATTGGAGGTTTTTTCTTTGGATGTCTTGTCTAGCTAGGTCACCCATCTGCTACAGTCTCCTTATTATTGATAACAGGTGGGAGACCCTCACTGGCAGCATGGTTTCCAGAGCAGTTCATTGATCATCATCCTGGTACTTGTCGCTGCTCAAGATGTGGCCTGTGGTGCAATTGCTGGCCTGGTGTGAATGCAGCAGGATCCTTCCCTCAGAGGCCAGCTTTTCAGTCTCTTTAGGGCCTGGTAGTTCTCCTTGGTTTGATATAACTCTCTTAGGTTGTGTCTACATGTAATCTTTTGAGTTGTATGGTCCTGTGCAGCCACATTTGCTTGTTCTTACAGGATTGACCCTCTTCCCCCAACCTCAAAACCCCCTAAAAGATAGCCCAAGCCCCTCCATCTTGCTCCTCCCTCTAAAGCAACTGGGCCTTAAAAAGATCACTTGGGTTCACCCAGAGTTCTGGTGTTGTGCAATAGGATAAGCACTGGACTGCTAACCTCAAGGGTGGCGGTTCAAACCCACCTGCCACTCACTATACAAGATTGCTGAGTTGAACTGACTTGATGACACTAAACAATAACAGGGATCACCCAAGGAACGTTGGTGGTGCAGTGGGTTAAGTACTGGGCCACTAACCCAAAGGTTGTTGGTTCAAACCCACCAGCTACTCCATAGGACAAAGATGAGTCTGCCTGCTTCCTGTTAAGATTTCTAGCAGTTTTATTCTGTGCTATCTTACTGATGCCACTACTAGTCTGCCATTTTGTCATACTGTGGTTGCTTGGATGTTGCTGTGATTCTGGAAGTTACGGCACCGTTATTTTAAATGCCAGCAGAGTCATCATGGTGGACAGGTTTCAGATGGCTTCCAAACTAGGAGGAAGGAGAGACAGACTACTTAAAAATATTTAGTCACTGAAAACCTTTAGTAAAACACTGTCCCATAACACCAGAATATTGAATATTTAAGCATGATGAAGAGCACCTGAATATGGTAAGATAATAGTGCTGGAAAATGACTCCCTCAGGTTGGAAGGCACTAAAATGCAACTGGAGAAGAGCTGCCTCCTCAAAGTAGAGTTGACCATAATGAAGTGAATGAAGTAAAATGAAGTAAAAATTTTGGGACCTTCATTGGCTGTTGAGAAACAACTCAAAATGATGACAAACATCAATTAATAATCCGAACATGTAAGAAGTATAAATCTAAGAAGACTAGAAGTTATAAAAAATGAAATGGAATGCATAAACATTGATATCCTAGGCATTAGTGAGCTGAAATGGACTGGTATTGGTCATAAGAATCAGACAACCATATGCTATGCTGGGAATGACAAATGGCAGAGGAATGGAGTTGCATTTGTCATCAAAAAGAACATTTCAAGATTTACCTTGAAGTACAACTGTGATAGGATAATATCCATATGCCTATGAAGAAAACCATTTTACACAACTAATTTATGCACCAACCATTAAACCAGTGATGATGAAACTGAAGAATTCTGTCAACTTCTTCAGACTCCTGTTGTGGTGCTGTAGGATCAGCACTGGACTGTGAACCACAAGGTCAGCAGTCCAAACCCACCAGCTGCTCTTGAGAAAACCCTATGCAAGATTGCTGTGAGTCAGGACCGACTTAATGGCACTTACAACACCAACAATCTACTTCAGTCTGAAATTGATAAAACATTTATGCAAAGGTTGTAGACAAAGAGGAAGAATCAGTCATTGGAAAATATGGCCTTGGTGTTATAAACAGTGCTGGAGACTGCATGATAGAATTTTGCAAGACCAATGATCTGTTCATTGCAAATACCTTTTTTAAACAACATAAAAAAATGACTGTATACATGGACCTCACCAGATGGACCCAATAGAATGTGGAAATCATTAGGCAATATCTTTGCTTTCCCACGCTAGTAAAGTTTTACTAAAGGTAATATAGAAGCATACATTGACAGACAACTTCCAGAGGGTCAAGCCGGATTCAGAAGAGGCCGTGGAATGAGGGATATCATTGCTGATGTCCGATGGATCTTGGCTGGAAGCAGAGAATATTAGAAAGATGTTTACCTGTGCTTTATTGACTACGCAAAGGCTTTCAATTGTGTGAATCATGACAAGCTGTGGGAACATTGCGAAGTATGAATATTACAGAACACTTAATTATGCTCATGAGGAATCTGTACATGGACCAAGAGGCA